AAAATTAGGAAATTAAAAAATTTTAAATTTTAAAAATATAAAATTAAATTAGGAAATTAGGGGATGGCTTTTCGTGTTATTCGTGCTACGTGAGAGTTGCCTACGTTTACGAATCCATGCTACATGGAAACCATTTAAAAGAATATCGTGTTAAAGGAGGACGATCGCAATTTTTGCCCCATGTTACATGTACAAGAGGATTGGCTGTACCAAAATGTTCTTATACGTACTGCAGTTGCCCTGAAAGACCTCTAAATACGTAAACGCAAAAATAGAAAAACAATTCCTCTCAGCGCACGCTTTATCCTAATAAGTGTAAACACGCGCGTCATTGCACATCTGACCGTTGGAAGGGTCAGCTTTCTTATTCCACGAATAGGGAGGAAAAAAACGCGAGTGACCGTTCCACAGACGCTCACGTTTCGCTAGTTCTGCGCGAGTCTATTTACGGACGCGAACGTGGGACGTGGATGTGTCTCGAAAACGCGACAAGGAAGTATAACTGTTTTGGTTGTAAACGGTTGAACAATTCCCGAAGTCGAAAACAACCGATAACATCTCTCAAGTTTCTATCCAGTCTTTGATTTTTTTCTTCAATGTTTATAGCACTGTTGCCTACGTTCGTAGCGAGAGGTTACGTAACAATTGTTACTGGCATGCTGTATTAAAACGTTACTTCGCTTTCTATGAGTAATCCTATCTGTTATTCATCGTTAAACGTTTCGACTCTATACTGTGTATGTATTTGCATCCACGCGTCGATTGACAGTGGTGAGAAGTTGAAACGAAGATCGATGAATTCGATTGAAAAGTTATCCTCGAATAATTCGGCAACGGAAGAACGCGATTCGATTCGACTCGAGTCCGATATGCTTCCTTGCCGATCATTGCTACTTCAAGGATGTACGGCTAATTAACACACACGCCAGAGTTCCTATACGATTAAACGATACTCTTATGGTAACAAGGACGATTTAACGACAAATGTACGCGAATTCTTTCCAAAAGGAGTGGGGCGCGAAGATTTTTGGCATGCCCCCGCGGAATTACAATTAGTCCTTAATAAGTAATTCGTATGGATCCATTGTATGTTAAACGTCGGTGTATTTGCACCACGGAACCGTTATTTAATCGAAATCGAGACGTGTGTCATGTCTACCCTTGAGGCGGTTCGACCGAACATTTGTAACTGTGCGTACGTCGACAGAAACGTTATTTATATCGTACGTCTGCCTCAAATCGTTAACTTCGTGTTTCAACACTTTCTTTTCATCCTTGGAAACTTCGAAGGAATGCACGAGTCGTTTTCGTTCTATCCTTGTTTACCGATAGAGCGAGACGAAAGTGTACACACACGAGTTTCGAAGGTTGACGACGAATTTTCGAAACTTTGATAGGCATGCAGACCGTTAAATGGTTATATAACTCACCATCTTCGTTGTCTGTCATTTAGCGTAGAACGTTGCCCTGACGTATTGCACCCTTGTTTCTGCAGATTTTCTCGAATAAGTAATCCAAATTTTGCTTGCACCGCACTTTGCGCACTTTAATATAACGACCATGTTTTCACTGTACACGTATCACCACTATTTCTTTCACTTCACATCGTTAGGATATTTGTGCACAAAAGGATAACTGCGTCGTTAGTAGATACGATTTTAACACGTTCAAATACCGAATAGAATATACACTACACTGATAACCGTAGCCACTGAGAATTATTACCAACTATAATTGACGTAACTGCTCCCCACAACATAAACGAATCGATGTATGTTTTGTTCGAAAGAAGTGTCGCGTTACACATATTATGAGAAATGTACCACAAGTTACAAAACATCGTACTGCCCACCGGTCTGTTCACGTGCAATTTCAATTCCGGTTAACTACACCGATAAGCCGCGAATTGTTACGTATAACACTTTGTTTGACGCGTACACACGTAGATGAGACGAATCGCGATAGATATAGGTACGTTCTGCCATACGAACAACAAAATTCGCAACGAAATGCAGAATGCTTCAGACGCGACGTTTGTAAAGCACTCCGCACGCCATATTTGATGCCCGCGATGAAGCGCGCGCAACTGCTTGTATTAATTATTAGGGCGGTATTTTTGAATTAATGTTTCATATATTAAAACGTGCATTTCATTTGAATTCGAATTTTATATTTAAAAATAACTTCAATTTGAAACTGAATATTTGAATAGTTTCACTTTATGATTCGAATATTAAAATTTGAGTATCTTAAATTGGCTGAATTTAAATCTTGAATAATTTGAATTTGAATGGTCCAATTCAAATGGTGCTCTCTTTAACGGCAGTGGGTGAGTTCAAATGGTGCTTACTTTAACGGCATTGGCTGGACTCAAATTTTCAATATTCGAATTTCATTGGTCAGTTTTCAAGCTCGAATAATTTGAATTTGATTGGTCCAATAGGCTGACTTCAAATTTTCGAATAGTTTGAATTTCATTAGCTGAATTTCGAATCTGATTGGTGGAATTTGAACATTTAAATTCGAATTTGATCGATTCACTTAAATATGGGTAAGATTGAATTTTAAAGATGTTCCCACGTTCGTTACGAGTTTTACACGAAAACTGAACGCGAGAATCTGTCCATAGCCGGCTTCCACAATTACGCTTACGGTACCGGTAGGCGCACAGAAGAAGCCGTTTCCTGGGATGCAAAAGAAAGACACAAATCTACGCGGTTTTTGTGAATCGGCGCGGCGGCGGCAATGATGCGCTTGTCGACTAGAAATAGCACGCATTTTTCCACCACCGATTCCGCGAATCTTCCATGAACATGAGTACGCTATAGGCTCCTCGTAGCCGTGGAAATAAGTGACGAGCAGCAACAACAAGAAACGATCCTTCCGTGGAATTATCTCCGTGTACACGTGAACATGTCAGCATCACGCACGAGAGTCGTCGAAAGAAACGCGTCGGTCTGTCGGTCGGTGAAAGAAGAGAAGCATCGCGGCGAAGACGATCCAAATCCGTTTTACCAGCGTCCGCTGGAAACGGGCCTTACTGTCTCGCCAGCAAAACGCCGTGGATCGCCGCGTGAGATCTCCATCAATAATTCATGCAGCGAGAACGCGTTCGCGTTCTCCGCGGACTTTGAGGGGAAAAAAAGTAATGGAAACCGCTCTGGATACTCGACGTCGAAACGCGCCGGGTTGCTAACACCAAGATGTAATTGCGATTTTGCGGTGTTACGTCCTTTCCGAAGGATTACGCCGATATTTATGGTCGTGTAAATAAAACATGGTGTATACCTACCCTGCCATGATCTTGAGAAACGAGGAAGCTAGGGTTATGTTCGAGGGAACGTTGCTTTTCGTTTCTTCGTCCGATACGTTAAGTTTATTCCGACGTCGAACAATATATCCTCTTCTTCTCTTAATTCAGACAAATGGGATATTTTCGCGAAAAAAAGCCACCTCTATTTTTCTGCAAACGTGAAACGCAGCTTGGGGAACAAACTGCGTTTCAACGGGAAGATGGAGTGGTAGAAATAGTAAACATTGTTAGGTTCTATTTATAACATTGAACCGGAGTTCTTCTTCGAAACGCATCGAGTAAAAGTCGACTGGCGCTCGGCGTGCAATCCTCGGCCACCAAGTGCAATGAGTATTCCACGCGTAACAGTAGGAAAACGTGCGCACGGCAGATTTTAGACCGCTTAAATTGCAAACGATTCTATTTACCAGTCGCATCGCAACGTGACCGTTATGGTCGTTGACTTTCGCGGAGACTTGCGAAAGACGCGGATGCAAATCACCGTGCTGACACGGAATCTCGTATCAGCCGACAAGAAGAAAGAAAAAAAACAAGTCTCCTCGAAGAATCCCCCGGGTACTAATTAACACAGCCTCCAGTTCCGACAGGCATCGCAGAGTTTGTCCAAAAAAGCTTGTCCTAGCCGGCTAATCGTTTTCTCCGAAGAACGCGCCTCCTGTTCGCCAAGTTTAATTTTAGAATATTACGCTATTTAACGATCGGCGATAAACGAAAGCGCCGAGATGCAGGAGAGTAAGGGACTATTAAAAGACGCGGCTGAAGAGAGGAATTCCTCGAATATCTTCAAGGATCGATTGGACTTTCAACGTGGCGACAGGTACACCAGATAGGCAGATAAACAGAAAGAGAGAGAGAGAGAGAGAGATATTCTCGAACGCAATTAGAATTAGCATTCCGATCTGGAAATTGCGCCGCTACCCGTAGATAGTCAACTACCGAAAGAATTCTCGAGAGCTGGGTCGGGCAAGGAGTAAATCGAGCGTTTAGACTCGCGCCGCCAGGCAATTTTCACGTGCGTCCGGGTAATTTTCAAGAAGCGAGTCGAGAGAGACCGCTTAGAAACGCGGAGCGCCGGCGCCGGCGCCAGTTCCTCATCCTTTTCCTTTTCCCTCTTGGCTCGTTTTGCTCGCCGCCGACCGGACCAGCGCCATGTAGTTTAACCATCTATTCCCGGACACCGTGGCGAGTGGACGTTACAACAGGCTTCTTCTTACTACCTGCCTTCCACGTCGTCGTCGTCGTCGTCGTCTTCTTGCTCATCTCCGTTGCTTTTTCTTTCCCCTCCCCCTACGTCGATCTCTCTCTCCTTCCTCTCGCATAGAAATAACCCGCGTCGCGGTAATTACAGTCCATCTGGAGTGCCGATACTGTGCCATTTGATAAGATAATCACCGGACTGTCTTTCAACTTCCTCGGAAGGTCTCTCGGGACCGATTCTCTTTC